ACCAGTCCCCCCCCAAAAGGAATGAAGAATCCACGAATGTATAATTACTACCTGTCCTCTAATGCTATAATCGGGAGCCAAATTTTCATGTCTCTTCAGGGCTGAGACCAAAAGAAACTGGGGCATGGTCAGACCCTGCAGGGGCGTGGCAACTTTGATTGTTTGGTCTGATTGGGCTAGAGGACTTCTAAAACCCATTCGTGGATTCTACATTCCCTACATGCTGGAGAAATGATCGGTCTATAGTTTTAATGGTGGGTTTATTTTAACAGTGAGAGACAGAATAACAACAACAAAAATCCAGAAAAATGCATTTCAAAAAAGTTATAAATTGATTTGCATTTTAATGAATGAAATAAGTATTTGACCCCTTCGCAAAACACTTGGTGGCAAAACCCTTGTTGGTAATCACAGAGGTCAGATGTTTCTTGTAGTTCGCCATCAGGTTTGCACACAACTTAGGAGGGATTTTGTCCCACTCCTCTTTCCAGATCCTCTCCAAGTCATTACGGTTTCGAGACTGACATTTAGCAGCTCGAACCTTCAGCTCCCTCCACAGATTTTCTATGGGATTAAGGTCTGGAGACCTACTACTCCAGGACCTTAATGTGCTTCTTCTTAATCCACTCCTTTGTTGTCTTGGCCATGTGTTTTGGGTCATTGCCATGCTGGAATACCCATCCACGACCCATTTTCAATGCCCTGGCTGAGGGAAGGAGGTTCTCACCCAAGATTTGACGGTACATGGCTGTCCATCGTCCCTTTGATGCGGTGAAGTTGTCCTGTCCCCTTAGCAGAAAAATACCTCCAAAGCATAATGTTTACATCTCCATGTTTGACAGTGGGGATGGTGTTCTTGGGGTCACAGGCAGCATTCCTGCTCCTCCAAACACAGCAAGTTGAGTTGATGCCAAGGAGCTCGATTTTGGTCTCATCTGACCACAACATTTTCACCCAGTTCTCCTCTGAATCATTCAGATGTTCATGGGAAAACTTCAGATGGGCCTGTGCATGTGTTTTCTTGAGCAGGAGGACCTTGCGGGCACTGCAGGATTTCAGTCCTTCACGGCGTAATGTGTTACCAATTGTTTTCTTGGTGACTATGGTTCCAGCTGCCTTGAGATCATTGACAAGACCCTACCATGTAGTTCTGGGCTGATTCCTCACCATTCTCATGATCATTAAAACTCCATGAGGTGAGATCTTGCATGGAGCCCCAGACCGAGGGAGATTGACAATTATTTTGTGTTTCTTCCATTTGCGAATAATTTCACCAACTGTTGTCACCTTCTCACCAAGTTGCTTGGCAATAGTGTTGTAGCCCATCCCAGCCTTGTGTAGGTCTATAATCTTCTCCCTGACATCCTTGGACAGCTCTTTGGTCTTGGCCATGGTGGAGAGTTTGGAATCTGATTGATTGATTGCTTCTGTGGACAGGTGTCTTTTATACAGGTAACAAGTTGAGATTAGGAGCTCTCCCTTTAAGAAAGTACTCCTAATCTCAGCTTGTTACCTGTTCATAAAAGACACCTGGGAGCCAGAAATCTTGCTGATCGATAGGGGAATCAAATACTTATTTCACTCATTAAAATGCAAATCAATTTATAACTCTTTTGAAATGCGTTTTTCTGTGGGGTTTGTTGTCATTCTGTCTCTTACTGTTAAAATAAACTTACTATTAAAATTATAGACTGATCATTTCTTTGTCAGTGGGCATACATACAAAATCAGCAGGGGATCAAACACTATTTTCCCTCATTGTAAACCAGGGATTCCCAACCAGGGGTACGAGATGATATTCCAGGGGGTGCGAAAAGTTGGGTTTTCAAAATTATAGTGTATATGCATAATTTGTTGCCGTTATTTCAAACTTTTGTAAGGGATGCAAAAATATATCAGAAGCATTCTAGGGGTGCAGGGTATAGAAAAGGTTGGGAACCATTGCTGTAAACAATAGCACTCGGTAACCAATGATGGTTTTTGGTATGGTGCATGCATATTTAGCAAAATTTGCTCATTCATGCAATTAAATTTTAAATGCAATAGTTCCAGGTTTTTTAATAGTCACATTTAGAAATGTTATAATTAAAAGCCTTTTACAAAAAGGATATATTACGATAGTATTCTTCTTTTTATTCCATTGTGTTTAAAGCTATCAAAGACATCTAACACACTGCTACCAGTAGGAATGGGGTGGTTAGTGGCACAACTGTATTCATACATTATTTTAGTGTGCATCAAGGTTTTTTTTAACACTTAGAATGTTATGATTCTCAGAGGGGAAAAAAGCATATTTGGATACTTTCTATAGAATCATGAATTTTTGGATGCCCCTGACAATATTTTTGAAAATTCCCATGTAATTGGTAAATGTTTTATTTAAAATCATCAGCAATTTAATTTATGGGACAAAATCTTGACAATGTACTGGTCCCCTAATATACTATTGAGGCAAGTACAAAAGAGAGTGACTGTATTCTGGAGTTGTTATCAGAAAGACAAGCTCAATTCTTATGGTCCAGCAAGAGAACCATATAGATTTCTTCCCAGTGGAAGAAATATTGGTAAATTAGGGTTGAACTATGGAGTCCTTGGTCTCTGAGCTTAGTTATTTGCTTACAGACATTTCATGATTCAGTTAGAGAATATCATAAATACTAGTGGGTGTGGGGTTTACTCACTGTTTACGTACAGTAGCTTGCTTGCCAGTGTTGGTGGAGGCATGGTTTTCTTCTTGATGATTCCTTGATTAGAGTATTGTTTTCTGCTTGACTGTCTAGTGTGAATTCCTGCTTATCTGGCTGCTGGCTGCTAGAAAGGATGTGTTCTGGTCTTTTTTATTTCCTTCTTAGCTTTTTGTTGTCTCTTTTGAATAGTGTATAAATGTGGATTATCTCAATTTGTCTACTGATGGCTGATTTGTCTGAATGCCAATCATCCAAGAATTCCCTAGCATTTTTTGGCTTTAGCTTGGTCTAGGATGCTCACAGTTTCCCGGCTGAAACTATGGTTGAGTTTGTACATGTGTTCTGAGATTAAGGAGTTTTCATCATGTCTTCTGGGTATTTTGATCTTAGTATATCTGATTAGGTCAGGTGTGTTGGGTAGTTCTGTTACCATAGATCTTTTGCTAGTTCTCGATCTTTGGATGTAAAGGATGCTATGACATTGAATGAAGCCATACTTTAATCTTCTTCTATTTTTAGGTCTCTGATTTTCTGGAAGCACTGTAATGGAGAGTTGATAGAATGTTTGTTCCCCCATGACACTTCTAAACTTTTCCATATGCTCTTTGGCTATGTTGTATGTTGGGGTCTCTGATAATGATACAGTGGGATGAAGAAATATGTCAGGCTTGTGTATTTTTGAATGTCCGTAAAAGCAAGTGGGGGGATAGGAACATTGCTTATCATTTGCCATTATTCTTCTTTTGTGATTTGACCTTTCAAGTTTATGGGTTCTCTTGATCAGGTTGTCTAGTTTCTGTACTGGGTTGGCATTTACTAGGATGTAAGGTGGTTTTTTTTGTCCTTCAATCATTATTTGGCTTTTTGAATGGATTATGTTCTGTCCATTACAGCTGTGGTTTGCCCTTTGTCTGCTGAGAGCAAGATGATGGTTTGTTTCTCCTTCAGGTTTTTGAGAGCTGCTTTGAGTTGGTTCTTATTCTATGTTGTTCTGGTCTGGGGTGTGATCGTCAGTTTTATATTTAGTTGGGTCTTGGCAAGCTCTGTGGTTTTAAATGTTGATTCTAAGGCTGCAAAGAATTCTAACTGATTAACATTGTCTATATTGTATTTCTTTTCTTTTCTACTTTTCAACTTATCTTAGAGATTTAGTCTTGATGGTAGTTAACATTTTTGTGTGTTCTGAGATCATGGTTTGGTCCAGCTGTTCCTTGAAACTATCTATATTGTTTAGTCTGAGAATGGAGGTGAGAATGGAGAATCCTAGCCTAGGTTCAGAAACAAGATATTGTTTACACTGATCTGCCTGTTTATATTTCTGTTGTATTTAATAATTAGTTTTATTTGTCAGAAGCCTGAGAAAGAAAACTGGACCGCTTTTAATTAAACAAACTACATAATGGCAAAGTATAATGTTAGAATGTGACTAATGAGAGTTATTTCAGTAAACCATGGTTAAAAAGCATGATCTAATACAATATGTGACCTAAACCATATCTTTACTAGGAATGGTTGATCATTATTCATGAGAACAGGGCCTTGGGCCTTTCTCCTTCTCCTGCTTCTTCTTCTCCAGGTTCATATTTAGGACAAAAACACATGGCCTTTACTTAGATCAGTGGTTCTCAACCTTTTTAATGCTGTGACCCCCAACCGGTCTTAAGCCGAGGACTAAACCGGTCGTAAATCGAGGACTACCCAACCGGTTGTAAGTTGAGGACTTTCCCTGCCCGGGAGCGCCGCGCATGCGTGGTGCCGCCCCCTGTGCCGGCCGAGGCGTAGCTGGCAAGTGGCAGAGACGGAGCAGGCCGACCACCGGCTGGACCACCAGCTGGCCCAGCCCAAGGGAGGTAAGGCACCTGCCGGAAAAGGGGAAAAATGGAGGACAGCCTTGCTTGGCGACCCCCGTGAAATGGTCGATCGACCCCAAATGGGGTCGCGACCCATAGGTTGAGAACCGCTGACTTAGATCTTTTTCGCATATATTTAGCAATTATGTAAAACTCTTGGCAAGTTTATAATCCGATGTGAACATTCTTGTATATAAATTAGTCTCATTCCTGTGTAATACTACTATTATGCAGCAATATACATTTCTACGCATCAAATGGCTATCTCCTAAAGAGCAAAAAGCTTTGTGGAGACAGTAAAGGTGGTTCCTCTCTCCAGAGACAAGAACAGTTTGTGGAAAAGACAAACGTGTGACAATAATGAGATCATAAAAACAGTGCACTGAAGTAAAGCATCTCTGAACAGAACCCAATAGGCCTTCCTAAAGATAGGTGAATACAGTACAGAAGATCAGCAGCTTACCTGGATCTTCACAGCAATGAGCACAGAGCTAAGCTCCTTGTCTAGTTCCCGCAGCACCGTCAGCTTTTTCAGGCGAAGGCTGCACAGTCTGTAAGACAGAGAGAATGGGATACATTCAGGCACCACCATCCCAGGGCCCCCGCTGCATGATACAAGATGCTCCGAAGGTAGCCCAGGATATTGCAGACCACGGTGGGGCCTGAGTTGCTCCTCTAGCTCAGGAACTCCTGAATTCATGCAGCAGAGAGAAAGCGGATCAGAAAAAGATGAAAGGAGGAAAATTAATAGAGCTAAAGCAGGATTAAGAAGATTATGCTATGACAGGAAGTTGCAAAGCACACAGAGGAGAAATCCCTGCCCAAAAGGAAACCAGTGCCAGCTCTGTACAGAGACACTTCAATGATTTGGGGACTTTCCTTATAATTATTGCAGTATCATGCCCTTAATGTAACCCAAAGGAATTTTTTTCCTTGCTTATTTACTACTTAGATAGTAAATAACACCCAAATAATACTTAAATAAAGTATAAGTTGTGCAACAGCAGATACAATAAATACATGAGATTGAGTTAAATCTCTGAACACTCAAATCATCCTATTCAGTGAATCCTATTACTTCCCATTTGGTCCCCCCAGCCTTGTTTCTGAATCATTTTACTAGTACTGAGTACAGCCTGATGTTTAAACAACCATTACTCATCATTCAACCAGGAATTCTAAGCAGAGAAATAGGGAAGAAGGAACATGAATCAGTCTGTCTGTTTTATGGGACATTAACAGGGGTTGGAAAAAGCTTTTTTACTATTAAGAGTAATGTTCTAAAAGGCTGGAATCTTGCATTCCACATGCCATCATTTGCAATCAGCAGGAAAACACATCCAATTCTCTAAGCAGTCTAGTAAAAAATTCTGGTTATTACTTTTTGTAGTTTTTTTATTAACAAAACATTTTCTTGTGGCCCGGTTCTCTCCTGATCCACCCACACTGCATAACGTCAGGAATGAGACATAACAGAAATTGTCAATGTTTTTATGAGGTTCCAACCCTCACCCAGTCAAATACCAGAAGTAATTCCACAAATTCAGTTGGTTACAATAGTTCTTTCCAAGAAATTCCTTCAGCATCATTGTTTTGGGAACAAAAAAGGAGCACCTTTTTCATCTAGAAAACCATTTTACTTTTAGACCAAAGTTTATGAAGTGATTTTTTTTTCCAGAAAAAAGGATCATACACAACTGATAATTCATCAAAAAGATTTATATGCAGACCTCAGAAAGGAGTGTATAGTCTGCTATTTTTCTCCCTTCACAAGCCCAGCAGAAACATTTCTGAACATATGCAGTATGCATCATTCATAAAGCTCCCGAATGCAAAACTTTGTAAAAAATTTGGGTCAGCCTTGAATCAATTTTTTCCAGTTGCAGTGGCAGTACATATATTAACTATTTTCCTGTACTGGCTTTGTGAATCTTCTACCATCTTTCTGCTATTAAAAAGAGACTGCTGGAGTATGTGAAAGAGACAGATATTTTAATTGTATATCATAAAAAAAACTAGCTATCGATGCAGGTATAAAAGCTGACCAAAAATGCATGCAAGTTTTTAGAATGCAAACTATTTCAAGCAGTCCTACACTTTGCTGAAGAGTATCTGGGAGTACTGCTATGGATTACATGGAATTCTTTATCCTTTGTGTCCCCCATCTCCCCAACCTATCAGCACTGACTTAAGGCCTGCCACCAGGATATATTTGGACGGAGGTGTTAAATATTAGAACCAAGCAGCTTGGGCTTGATTCTACTCTTTAGATGTTCACAGATGATTTTTTCATTACTGGTCAACTACATCATGATGTTGTTCATATATAAGGCTGACAGTGTCCTTCTGCCCAGAATGTGAAAAATGAAAAGTAAAAGTTTTCTCCTGCTAGCTAATTATGCAGCAGAATGGCAACCATTCAGCAAAAACATCTGGTCTTCCATACTAAATTTTCAAGGAAAACAAATCTTCATTCCTAGGACCTCCTTGATGGAATAGTCACTTAATATGCTTTTGATTGTTTAGAGGATATTTGCCATTGAAGCATTCCAAGAAGTCAGCAGGCTCATTGCTAAAGATGGCTTTCTATAGCAACATATTCTATGCATTTACAATTTTCCAAACATTCACTTTCTAGATAAAAAACCAGCAGGTGGCAACATCTAGTTGAACCATGGCTAATTTCTGAAGCAAAGCAGTTTTAGCCCTGGCTAATGATTGGATGGGGATGTCTAGTACCTTCAGGGATGCAGATTAGATTGGAAAGTAGACCCCCCCTCCCCCACACTCTAGATACCTTCTAAAACATGCATATAGTTGTCAGGTCTTGAGCTCAACCTGAAGGGTAGCCTTACATTATATAATATCTATGTACTGTCTTCAGTGGTACAGAAATTGTTGTAGGTGTTCTTTATGATTCTTTGTATGATCTGCAAATGGGGATCTCCCCTCAAACATTAATTAGGATATAGATCTGCTGAGACACAGTAGCAAATTGCTTTATATACATCATACCTTTGTCACAGAATATTAAATTTAGTTGGTCTCCAACTCACCACAATAAATTAGCCCTGATGCTAGCAACATCCCTAAAGAAAAAGTTTGATTCTCTATGAAGTCATAGTATTTACAGTTATCTAAATGTACGCAAACACATCTGCGCACATCACTTCCCAAGACTCTCCCAGCTCCTTTTCCACTGCTTGATATCTATGGGGGAAAATGGCAAGAAGGTGACAAGCAACAGGGAGAAAGCAGAACTATTTAACTCGTTTTTTGCATCTGTCTTTATACAAAAGGAAAAACCAGACTAACCTACCAAAATAGTGCCAGAATAGAAATACAATTTAAGATAGGCAAGAAAATGGTAAGCGAGTACCTGTCCAGCCTAGATGAGTTCAAATCACCAGGACCAGATGGATTACACCCCAGGGTTCTCAAGGAACTGGCAGATGTGATCTCAGAACCATTGAACTATATTTTTCAAAGATCCTGGAGCACTGGGGAACTACTGGAGGACTGGAAAAGAGCTGATGTAGTTCCCATCTTCAAAAAAGGAAAAAAAATGGACCCAGGAAATTACAGACCTATCAGCCTGACCTCAATACCTGGGAAGATCCTGGAAAAGATCATCAAACAACGAATCAGCAAACACCTAGAAGCAAACAAAGTCATTACTAAAAGCCAACATGGGTTTGTCAAAAATAGATCATGCCAGACAAATCTTATTGCATTCTTTAACCAAGTGACAAAATTAGTGGATCAGAGGAATGCTGTGGACATAATTTACTTGGACTTCAGTAAGGTATTTGATAAACTAGGTTACAACCTACTACTGAACAAGATAGAAAAATGTGGGGTAGACAGCATCACCACCAGCTGGCTCCATAGCTGGCTGACCGGCCATACTCAGCGTATGGTACTCAATGGAACCGCAGCTACATGGAGGGAAGTGTGTAGTGGGGTGCCCCAGGGCTCTGTTCTGGGCCCAGTGCTCTTCAACATCTTCATCAATGATTTGGACAAGGGGATAGATGGGGAAATCATCAAATTTGCAGATGACACCAAGCTGGCAGGAATAGCCAACACTCCAGAAGACAGGCTTAAGATACAGGAGGATCTGGACAGACTTGAACACTGGGCGCTATCTAACAAAATGAAATTCAAGGGTGAAAAAAGTAAGGTTCTACATTTAGGTAAGAAAAACCAAATGTACAGGTATAGTATAGGGGGTACCTTGCTCAATAGTAGTAACTGTGAGAGGGACCTCGGAGTCCTAGTGGACAATCACTTAAATATGAGCCAGCAGTGTACTGCAGCTGCCAAAAAGGCCAACACAGTGCTGGGCTGCATTAACAGAGAAATAGAATCAAGATTACGTGAAGTATTAATACCACTTTACAATGCCTAGGTAAGGCCACACTTGGAATACTGCATCCAGTTTTGGTCACCATGATGTAAAAAAGATGCTGAGACTCTAGAAAGAGTACAGAGAAGAGCAACAAAGATGATTAGGGGACTGGAGGCCAAAACATATAAGGAAAGGCTGCTGGAATTGGGTATGTCTAGTTTAATGAAGAGAAGGATGAGGGGGAATATGATAGCAGTATTCCAATATCTCAGGGGCTGCCACAAAGAAGAGGGAGTCAAGCTATTTTCCAAGGCGCCTGAAGGCAGGACAAGAAGCAACGGATGGAAACTAATCAAGGAGAGAAACCTAGAACTAAGGAGAAACTTCCTGATAGTTAGAACAATTAACCAGTGGGACAACCTGCCTCCAGAAGTGATGAATGCTCCAACACTGGAAGTTTTTAAAAAGAGACTGGACAGCCATTGTCTGAAATGGTATAGGGTTTCCTGCCTGACCAGGGGGTTGGACTATTAGATCAATATGATATTTTTATTCAGCCCAGGATAATTTAACTCATTAGCTATTAGCATGCATATTCCCTAACTAAAGGCATCACAAGAAGTAGAAAAGTTAATACCCCATTTCTGTAATTAAAGCATGTCATTGATAATTCCTCAGTACCATCTTCTATAGCATTTCTTTTACAATATTTTTATACTGGCTCATAAGAAAATTCTGTTCAAGGCACAATTTACAAAAAAAAACACATTTAAATAAAAATGCAATGAACCTAAAACAGAAATGTACAACATTTAAAACTGCAGCAGCAAAGATAACTACATAAAACTACTAAACCAAATAAAACTTGACTTGGAAAAATGGAAACATCTGCAACTGTCGATGTTAGGAAGAATTGCTACAGTGAAAATGAATATATTACCAAAAGTACTGTTTTTATTCCAAATGATACATATAAAACTAGAAAATATTTTTTAAGATTTAAATTCCCTAATTCAAAAATGTATTTGGCAAGGAAAGAAAACTAGAATTAAACTGAAAATATTACAAGAAGCTAAGGGAAACGGAGGTTTTGGTTTGCCAGAGTGGGTTTTATATTATCAAGCATCAGTGCTAACATGGGTAAAAGAATGGATAACCCTCAGAAATAAAAGATTGTTGGACTTCCGCTTCCGGATCGCA